CCATGAGCGATATCGTCAATATACGAGCTTCTTCCTAAGACCGGACCATGTGACGGAGCCGGAATGTTGCGTCGGAATACCGTCATGTCCAATGACGAAATCTCTGAGCCTCGCATATCCACTTCAGGTTTCAGGACTTCTTGCGGCTCAAGATCCAGGACCTTAAGAACTTCTGGGTCGACCAACGCTTCTTCTTCAGGAGGTAGACGGACGAATCCCCACAGACACTTGTTGATGATGCTCTGATAAATTAACGGCGCATTCTTCAATCCAAAGGGCATTCTGAGCCATTGAAAATGGCCGAACGGACAGACAAATGCAGAGATCAGCTTCGCACGTTCAGTCATTCGCACCGCCCAGAATCCACTCGCCATGTCGAGACTCATAAACCACATTGCGGACTTGAAGTCTACCAGCAGGTCATCGATCAAGGGTAGAGGGTAGCGAGATAGCTTTATGAGCAGATTCAGAAGTCGGTAGTCAATACACATTCGGATGTCTATGCCGTTTTTCTTCAGCACAATCACAATAGGTGATGACCGCTCGGACTCTGAATGCTCAATGAGCTCTGCCTCCAACAACTTCTTCAGGAGTTCGAACACCTTCACCAAGAAAGGTGCGGCAATATGCCTCGCACGTAAAGCCACTGGTTTTGCTTCACCAACGTCGATATCACACACTACGCCCCTAGCCGGGGCTGGAGCTGCATTGCCGTCTCCCAGGAAGATGCTGCGGTGGATTTCACGATCCCTCTCATCTTGGCTTCCATCTCCGGAGTGGTGACCCCTGGGATTCCGACATTAGCTTCGTCGATGTTACACTCTGGGGTCAGTTCTTCAATTTCCGGGAGCATGATAAGTTGGTCTCGTAACTGCGCCATCAGATCACTTCCTTCCCTGAGATATACGGCAGGTTCCAGGTCCAGCTCTTCGGCAGAGACTCGCATTACCCGAGCATATTCTGCCTCCAGCCTTTGGACTGGTGTCGAACGACTGGACATCCACTGACGGTTCAGGGGCCTGAGCATTACTCTCGACATCCGCCATACTCTCTGGATCCGGAGTCTCAACTTCTGGACTCAAGTCAGGATGTGGGGCTTGTTCTACCGGCTCAGGACGGGTCTCAGATTCCTCGGGGCCTCTCGCGACCGTGTTCATAACGACCGCTGAATTCCCGATGATCTTGAGCGTTATATCTACTGGTTTAGGCTTTTCTTGCAACTTCACCATCTTCACTTCAGCGGCTTGGGTCTGTGGACG